TATAAAATACACAATGTTTACGTTCAGACAAAGAAAAATAATAAAGTACAAGATTGACCATTGTAAAAAGAAAAAAAAAAGAAACGTACGAGTAACAATTTTGGTTATACTGCATCAATACAATCGTTTAGTCAATCATTGAAGAGGGAGGTGCCTTTTTACTGTCTCTTTTCGTTTTTGTTTTCTTTAGCCTTGATTTTGTACAAAACACACTGGGTGTGTATATATTATACAAATTTTTGTTTTTTCATGTTTGTATGTACAGGCAAATTTTGCTATTGTGTATAACATACAAACATGATCAAATAAATATCTGAAGGCAAGCAAGATATAGATGAAAAGAACATAGACGAGTATCGACGCTTACTTATATTATTCTGTTTTATAGAAAGTGTCTATTTATCAGTGAATTGGTATACAATTTTATCATTGAAACTATCCAACAATGTCATTATCATCTACTACCCTGTAAGTAAACAAACTTTAATTCAAATAAAAAAATTTTGTTTAGATTGACTAAAACTATTAGTTATGTGATTATAATTATCTTTTTGCACTCTTTTATTTACTTCTGTTTTGATATAACTAATCTGATAATTAATTTAATAGTTTATCTTATCTTTGTTTTAGTTATTCACGTCTACTTGTTCGTCATCATTGGTTTGTACTTGGTTTTGTCATATTTATTTGCATAACCCTAACAATTATTGGTCTTGTTTTTACACAATTACCCGATTTTTCTGATCCAAGAATAGTAAAATCATATGAAAGAAAAAAGAAATATATATATATATATATACCAAATAATCCATTATTTGTTATGTCATAGGGATGGGGAGCACGTGGAAAAGGAACAATATTTTCACAATTAATGGTTTTACGTCATGCATCAGAAAGATTTCGTCTTGCTTATGAAATACCATTAGATACAAATGAATTATTTGGTGCATTTGCACAATTTGTTAATGTAACTGTTGATCAACTTGATGAAAATTCGTATCGATCTGATCTGCTTTCTAAATATGATTTATGGAAAAAAAAACAATCAAATAAAAATTCTGATGAATTATATGATTATCGAAATTTAAATGAATTATTTTACGATAATGATATAGATGAAAATGACATATATGATTATCATGATGATGAAAATTCTCAATCAGCATTAATTTATCAATGGCATCGTGATCGACATTTTGATATTCAAAATTTAATAAAAAAATATGTTGATGATAAAATGTAAGATTTTTATTTTTGTAGTTCTTTTTTTTTTAATTTGTATTTTATGTCTTTAAATGTAGGGTTAATATTACTGTAATGGATTTTGTTAAAACTCTACCACAATTTAATAGAACTAACTATCAAGCAAGTCGATTACCTTTTGAAATGCTTCGACCATATGCTTATCTTATCGAAGAAAAATATCGTGGTCGATCAGGTAATTCTATGTCATAGAGAAGAAAAAAAAATTCATATGCAACATAACTTAGTCCATGCTCTTACAAATTAGTTCTCAAGATAGGTTGTTTGACCTGATTCAAAATGATTTTTCTAATGATTTACATAGATTTTAATGTCTATCGGGTCACTTAACACAAATCTGACTCTTTTCCATAAGAAAGATTAGTAAAGACTTGCTATTGATAAGAACATAGGAAGCTTAACTATACAAATGTTTTATAAGTCTTAGTGAAAGAAGAAATAAAAATAAAGTATTTCTTGGTTTCAATGACACTCATCATTCCCATACATATACAGAACTAAGAAGACTGTCAATAACATTAAATAATATGAGTATTATTAAAGTAGAGTAATGTTATACATTGAGTAATATTTAACATGTAAGCAATAAATAGTTATTAATCAATGAATAATTTATTTTTGAAATATTCATACTAATAAATGATAGTTTTTATGAAGTTCGACTTCTGATGAACATATCTTGTTTTTACGATTCAATAAGTAATTCGAGTTATTTTTCATATTCTTTTTATTAATAAGAGAATTGTGTGAACATGTTAAATGTTATTATCACCAATATGATAAGTTCTCTACAGTGTTCTTATTAATTATCGAAGTGATTATTAAATTTCATTATGAAGAAATGTATTTTGTCAAAGAACAACATACTAAAAAATTAGTGTGACTTTGTACCCGTGTTTTCATGAAGTTAGAGATCAAGCCGAATATAAGTTATCAAAAAAAATATCTAGATTTCGAGACTTCCTACACGTTATTGGACTCCGGAAGAGCTTTTTAAATATATAGCCATTTGAGATAAGTAAAATTTTGTTGAAAAGCTATACAAGTTTCTGCCCACATAACTGATAACTTCCGTAATGAAATCACAAAAAGCTAAGAATATTACAGTTGTTCTTTCAATCATAATGATATTTAACTCGTTTTTATTCTCACAAATTGATCTATAGAAGAATTCATATAATATTAGTTATTGTTAGATATAATATGATCACGGAAATTACAAGATAGGACTTGAACTATGTAAATGAAATGTAACAAATATTTCTTCCAACACAATAATACTAAATAGAAAGAGAAATCATTTGAGACTTTATTTATTTTGATATGAAAACAGATTTATGAAAGAACAGTTCATAAGACTCATGACATTTACAGATTATTCAATAATCAATACATAAAAATGTCATGAATTTTTATTTTTCTTATGCAAATTTATTGTATGTTTTATACACAATTTGAGTTCATTTAATTTATTTAATGATTTGTAGATTGAGTTGCCTACAACATCACGCTACACGGTAATATTTCTAAGACTATTTAAAAAAAACTCGTATTCTTATATTTATTCAAGAGAACTCATTATGAAGTCCTTAAGAAATCTAATCCTTTGTAAGCAAATTTATAAAATACTCTGATTGAAAAATAAATTATGTTGGTAGATGTTATATATAACATGAAAGATGTTTCTTAGCAATGATGTAGAACAGTTCGATTGTGTTTTACATTTTAGTCTTGTTGAATTTGATTGAAAACATTTTTTCATAAGCAATATTTTCACTTGTGCTTTGTCATAATATGTAAATTGAAAGAAAAAAAAATAAAATATTCAAATGTGAAAAACAATCGTTTTAAAGATGTCTACAATTTTCGTTTTCGCTAAATGAAAAATAAAGAAATTCATATAGAATAAATTGAAAAATAATTAATAATTCGAACGATAACTTACCGTTTTCTCTTTGTTTATGTTCGTTTGATTTTTCGCTTTTTTTTTTTGAGAGAATTTGACTAAATTTAATTTGTATTCATTTATAGGTCGTGATGGTATGATTGAATTTTATATTGAACGTACACAATCAACCGATGATTTATTAACTCTTGATCATTTACGTTCTATATGTAGATGGGAAAAGACATATAAACATATTCTATCTCTTGATAATATTCCAAGCCTTTCATTAGCAACATTTGTTGCATTATATTCATCAAAAAATGATTGTCAATTAATCACAGCTAATGATGTTGAATATTTTCGCTCAATACTTCATACATGTTTACCGTATTATGTAAATGGCTATATGGATGTACCATTTAGTGATCAATTTCTTAATCGTGTTACATTAGAACATCAACCAGGTTATTTTACTTATCAAGAACAAACCAAAGCTGTTTATACTGCTTTACGTCATACTTGTTTTTATAAAAATATAACACGTTTTATATTTGATCATTTTGTTGATAAAAAATTTATAAATGAATTTCAACATTCAAAAAATAATACAAAATTATCAATATCAATGATATTTATATCAAATTATAAAATAATAAAATATAATCGTACACGTGATCAAACAATGTGTTTAAGACGACAACCATATTCAAGAAAATATTGTCAAGAACGGGGTTGTATTGATGATTATAGAAATAATTTTATTGATAAATCATGTGCTAATGATAAATTAACATTAGATAATTGTGAAAAATATTGTCAATGTAAATATCAATGTCTAAATGAAACCGAACAAGTTCTTTTATTAGCACCAATTTTAAAAGCACCAGAATTAATTGAAATATTTGTAAAGAAATTTTCTGGTAAACGACAATTATCAACATATAAAGATGATTTTATAAAACTTATTGCACTTAATTTTGCTAATGCTAGAGAAAAAACAGCCATGGCACAGATACATGAAGGTTAGTTTTAATCGTGATCAACTAACAAGAAAAAAAACGAGAATTTTTCTGATATTTATTTATTTTTTTCAAATGTCATAATGCAACGATAGTTTGAAAGATTTTGTTACGAGACCATAATATTGCACGATGGACGATTTATATTGAACAGATGAACATGACTTATTTTCTATCGAACACCAGCTGGTTTCATAGAAATGTTAACTTTTTGTACTCAAAAATAAGATTGATGGAAAATTCCAAAGGAAGACCCTTACCATAGATTTTTATGAAAAAGAAAACTTTTTAGTGTAAAAAGTAACAAATAAAGCATTACTCTATGTAGTTTTTCACGTCGATTTCTAATATGTCTTTATTTTTCTCTCAAAGTGCTTTTGTGACAAAGACATCGTGAAAAATCAACATTTTTAAAAAAACGTTTATTTTCTTGAAGAAACTTTTGCGCATCAAAGAAATCATTTAGCATAAAAAGAATAATTATGTTTTTTTAGAACAAAAGCTTTTCTTATAAATACTCAATTTTTCCAATGAAGTTAGCAGCTCGGATAAATGTTTTTGCCAAAAAACTAGTCGTTAATCAAAGTGTATAAGTTACTGTTCAAATCTCTAAAAAATTCACTTTCATTTTTTTACCTAATGTTCAAGCTGTATTGCCTACTATATATTATATCATCACAATCAGCAATTAGACAAAAATTATAGAAATAGTTTCCTAACGGGATTTTTATTTTCTCTTTCATGATTACTCATTGCATTGATATTAATTTTAACTCTTATTTTATTTAAAAAAAGAAAAATAGAAGAAACAACATATCTATTATTTAGATATGCTTCTTGTTATAATCGCAGCAGCATTAATTATTGGTATAACAGTATGTTATTTACGAAGTATTACAATAGCTTTAATGATTGTTATTGGAGCTGCATTATCAATTGGTGTAAGTTATTTTGTATATCGTGCAATTTATCGTATACCAATATTTCCATTTATGAATTTAATGTCTGCATTTATATTAATTGGTATTGGTTGTGATGATATATTTGTATTTTTTGATACATGGGATCAAGAAAAATTAGAATGGTTAAGAAAATATCAAGATAAATTATTAGCTGAAAGTAAATTTTATTTTATTTTATTTATTTTAATAGATTATTTATTTTGTTAATTTAGATACAAATATTTTATTAAATTCTACAAATACACATGATGATGTACTTTTAAATCAAAAAGTAAAACCAAGTAAATTAAAAAGACCATCAAATGCATTTCAATCTCGTCATCGTTTATGTTTATTTGAACATTCACAAGAAATTCGTAAATTATTCTTACGTGAAGAAGCATTAATAGAAATAATGTCTAATACATTAAAACATGCTGGTTCATCAATGTTTGTTACATCATTTACAACAGCAGCTGCTTTTTTTACAAATATGTTAACGAATATTTCATTTGTTCAAGTCTTTGGAGTTTTTACTGGAACATGTATTTTACTTTATTTTGTTATTACAGTTACTGCAATAGCTGCTTTTGCTGTAAGTTGAATTATATTTTGAATATTTGAACAAAAAAAAAAAAAAAAAAAGAACAAGAATGATTATTATTATTGTTTGTTTTTTGTTTTTCATATTCAAGATTATTTATGAAAAATATATTCAAAATATAATATCTCACGTACATTCATTATGTTATACTGATGTTGTTAATAAATCATCAAGTAGTACAGTATCAAAATTATGTCGTCGTTTTTCATCAACTTGTAGAGATTTTCGAAATTATATATTTGGTCATCTTATGCCATTACTTATTATTAATTTACGTTATATTTTCGTTTTATTTTTTTTTCTTATGGGTATTCTAGGTTAGATAATTTTGTTTTTTTTTTTCTTCTTAATTTTTAAATAAATAAATTTTTTGTTTTTATTTATTTATTTCTGTAGGTCTTATTGGTATTTTTTATTATCCTAAATTACAAGTACCATCAACACAAAAAGTTGCTTTCTTTTTAAAAGATAATCCAATGGAAATCTATGAATTTTCAATGAAAAGTCAATTTAATGGTTATTCAAAAGAAGATAAACGTTTATTTGCTTATCCAGCTGTTTCATTTATATTTGGTATACATGATATTGATGATGGTTATATATTTGATATGAATGATCGTGGTCATTTATATTTAATGCCAATTCATTTAAATCGACAAATAACACTTGATTTTTTTAAAAATTTTATTACACATTTGGGAACACGAAAAGATTTATTTACATCAAACTATGATTTAGAAAAAGATTTTGAATCATTTTATCAGGTAAATTTTTTCGTCTTTTATATTATTGATTAATAATTCATTGTCTTCTTATTCTCATAGCTTACAACAGATAATATTTTAATAGCTAAAGTTGCCGATGATCGAGCTAAATTAAATGTATCAAAAACACATCATTTAAATATGATTAAATATTTAAGAAAAATAAATAGAAGTTTAATAGATAATTTAATTTCTGATACCGTACGTACAATTAATTATAAAATTGAAAATGATCAATCTGATCATGATGAATATATTGAAAGAAAATTAGATAAAATAAATTTAAATTTATATAAAATAAGTAATAAACAATTAAACAATCTATTAAATCCAGTTATTATTTATTCAAATTATCGAAAATTATTTAATAGAACATTAGAAAGACTTTATAAAGAACAGGTTAGTCTAAAACGTTATTTTTCTTTTACTTTTTTTTTTTTTTTTTGTTATTAATTATAATGAATAATCATAGATTCAACAAAGTTATAATTTTAATGAAATTCGAATATCTATAAATGGTACACTACGTGATACATTGACGGAAGAATATCAATGTTCAGCATTGAAAACAGCTATGCAATGTTTAACAGGTGCAGCTGGTGCTAATAATGTACCAGCTGATTTTTGTAACAAACAACTTACTAAACAACGATCATTTAATTGGGCAGTTTTACCTGACAAACCATCACCAATCGATGGAAGTGTTCGACCATTTGCAGTTATGATTACTATTCGAGGTAAGAATTCTTTAGAAAGAGAATTAGGCATATGATTTCATCTAAAAGTATCAATTTCCTCTACTAACGACTAAAGTCCTCCAACTGACAAAGTGCCATTAATTCAAGACTATGTGTATAATGTAGACTCGAATAAGTTATGAATACTCTGAAAAAAGTTTGTATTGGCCTTAGCTTATTGCAGCGGAGATATTGCGCGGTTACGATATTTTTTAGCGAAAGGCTCTAGTTTTCTTCAGGAACACTAGATAAGTTTGTTTTCGAGTTTTAACTTGAAGTTTTGTATATACATAGACTTTTTGTGTACTGTTCTCGATTTAGAAAAAACTATTTCACAGTTTGTTTATATCAAATTTCGATAATCTTTTCTGAATAATTCTTTTGTTTTTTTATAATTTCTAAGATAATTCGCACAAATTTTTATCTTGTAATCAAATTTCGATGATGAGAAATTCATAAACATATCATTCTCACACATAAGTTTGAATTATCTTTTATAAAATATAAATAATCTACTTGACTTTAGTATGAAATTCTAGTTTAAATACAATACGTCACGAGATTTTTCTTTTTATCAAAAACAAAAAATATATTTCTTATTTATTTCAGGCGCTCACAATCGTACAGATTATGATTCTTACAATAAATATTATATGAAAATAAAAAATTTCTTTGATCCATATATAAAACAACATGCACCAGAACATTTAAAACATGCTTGGTTTTCTTCGCCGGGTTTTGCATTTTATGGTATTCAACGTGAATTACTTGTTGGCTCCTATTCATCCCTTCTAGCATCACTTGGTATTGCTTTATTGGTACTATTTCTTACATCAGGCAATTTATTTATTGCAATATATGCATTAATTACTATTACTTTTGCTATTGGTAAGCATTCATTGGTTTTCTATGAAAGATGATCTAAAAGGAGTATTGAAGTATAAAGATTGAAATTCAGACACCCTTTCTTAGATTGTGACAGATACCCTAGAAACTAAGGAATCATGGAACTACATATTTGTGGTTCCAGACCGAAATTTTTTTTCCACCAATATCTGGCACCCTCTGTATACCTGAATAAGTGAAGGATCAAGGTTTTCATTATTTATTGGCTACTCTCAGGAAACAGTTAACTTACAGTTATTTCTTGTTTTTCACTTTTTCATCGTTTTCGTTTAATTGAAAAGAACATTATCTAAACAAAACAAAAAAAAAGAAATTAAAACAGTTTAATTAATAAATAAAATTCATCAAACCAATAGTAACATCAAAATCTTTACTTTCATGGAATAAACTTTGTTGTATATATGTAAACAAGATTCAACAAGAATATATTTTCTGCAAGCAATGTGAAGATATACTTATTTATAAATTATCTTCTGGTATTAATTCACTATCGAAGCATCTTCGTAGTTGTCAAAATAAACAGAAACAACAACTTTCAATGTTGAAACAAATAACAATTAGTTGTATGCATTTGCAAACAATGAACCAGCTGTTGCACAAATAAGTTAAGCAAAAAAATAAAAGTTGCTTATTTTGAATTTGCAACAGTTGACTGTCAAGTATTCGAAACAATTAATGACATTAAGTTTCAAATTCTACACAAAATATTTTTTATACTGGTTGACACTTACAAGATACTTCTAATTCAAGTTTTTATAGATCGGATCGGAATTTGTGTCCATAGTCTGACACAATCTTCTTGTTACTATTTTCTTATTGAATTTCTAGAGGACAAAGTAAAAACATAATAAAAAAAAAATGTGTCCTAAAATAGACAGAATAAAATAATCTCCCTGTGATTAGGAAGAACAGCTACATTATGTTTATAAAATAAATTTATTTTCTTTAGCTGTTACTGTTGGTGTATTTGCTGTATTAGAATGGGAATTAGGCATTGTTGAAGCTATTATTGTTATTATGTCTGTTGGTCTATCAGTAGATTTTGTTGTTCATTTTGGTGTTGGTTATATTCATACAGATTCAAAAGATATTGATAGTGAAAGAAAAAAAGTTGAAGATCATTATTTATTACAAACATCTAAACCCAATGAAAATGAAGATGATTATAGTAATTTTTTTCTAATATAATAAAAAAAAAAAACGTATTAAAATTTTTATATTTAGAAATAAGTACTTGGCGTGTTGTATATAAAGAACAACAAATCGAACGTGAAACACGTGTAACAGAATCAGTATCACGTGTCGGTTCAGCTGTATTTATGGCTGCTTTTACAACATTTGCTGCTGGATTTTCCATGACACTTTCATCACTTTGTGCTTTTCGACAAATGGGACAATTTTTAATGACAATTAGTATGTTTAAAAAAAATAATATCATTAATTATGAATTTTGTATTCATTTGTATTTTTTAGTGTTAACATCATGGAGTTTTGCAATGTTTTTCTTTTTACCATTATGTGCGATTATTGGTCCAGTTGGTAGTTGTGGTTCAATTCCATTTTCACGATTAATTAAATGCTTTAAACGAACTCCGCGTCAAAAATAAACAAAAACTATCGATCAGATTTAGGTTGTTTTTTGTTTTTCTTTATAAAGTCTAGTCAACATCACAAGAATAAATCTTACTTAATATTGCGTCCACTGTTCAAAAAAAAAAAAATAATTTTTACCCTTTTGTCAGATTAAATAATTTTATTTGCAAAGGATTATGTTTCTATCTATTTAATAGCGATGTATGAGCAATTTATTTATTTATTCTTTGTTTTCTTTCACATATAATGTACATTCATGTATTAGAAAAAACACAAAAGAAAATCAAATAGAAATAAATATGACTTGAAATCAGTTATAAAACATTCGTTCGATCTTTTCTTCTCTCTGTTTTCTTCTTTTTTTCTTGCATGTCTTAAAACGCTTTGTGTTGATTGATGATGATAATAATGTTGCCTTATGTTATCGTTTGTTCTACCTGTGTAAGTGAATTACATCAACTACATTATAATCGGTATATTTCTTCGTTCCGTTGGTAGAAGAGCACAAGAAAAAGAAAGAAAGAAAAAAAAATACTAGCTTTCAATTATATATAGGAATATATTCTTGGTCATAAATACATACATTCATGGGAACGAGTAAAAGTGCACTATTACCTCCAGATCAAGTGCAATTGATTTGTAGTGAAACAGGTATATCTAAGGATAAGTTCTTATAGGATATATTTCTATTAAATTTATTTTATTTTAGGCTTCACGCCTAAACAACTTCGACGATTGTATATTCGTTTTCAAGAACTCGCCAAACGAAATCCATCATGTGATTATTTGACACGTGAGGATTTTTTAGAGATACGTGAAGTAGCAGTGAATCCATTAGGAGAACGTCTTGTTGATGTTATTGTACAAGATTATGGTTAGATTTTATCTTTTCTTGTCTAATATTATATTTTATAATATATTTCTATTTTCCATAGGTGAGGCAAATAAAATCAATTTTCGACAATTTGCTCATGTACTTGCTCGATTTCGTCGTGGAAAATCAACAACTGATTTAAATACCAAAGAAAAAAAATTATTATTCTTATTCAGTGTTCGTTTTATTGAATTAATATATTAATTGGGAGAATTATGTCTTTTATGTTTAAATAGATCTACGATCGTAATCATGATTCAAAAATTGACAGGAATGAATTATTAGGAATTTTAAAAATGATGGTAAGTAAAATATGAAAGAATACTGAAATTTCAGTTTCTATTTAAAAAGGTCGGTGGAAATATTCATGATGAACAAATTGCAACGATTGCTGATCATACTATTCAAGAATTGGTAAGGTGTTTGTTTTTCTATGTAAATATTATATCATATCTTCTATATTGGTTTATTCGTAGGATGCTGATGGTGATTTAACTATAACTTTTGAAGAATTTTGTGAAACATTAGCAAAAATCGATGTTGACGAAAAAATGTCAATGAAATTTTTAAATTAAATTTGCTTTTGAAAACTCTTTTTTTGTTTATTTTATCGAGAAAACTAATACATGCTTCTTTTTTTTTTAAATAATAAAAATTTTGAACATAAAACTAATTATTCTATCGTTTTAATATGACTAGTGAATTGATTATAAAAATTGAATTAAATAAAAAAGAAATATTTTGTACTCAAATGAAAAATAAGGAAAGTTGACTTTTTTTTTATTTCAGAATATTGTCTAATTACAATAGATTCTTTGAAATTATGTAGATGGAATAAAACGTTAGACAATGTTTTATTCATTCTTAAATTTCGATTGTTCATACTAAAGAAGTCTGAAAAATAAAAAGATTATAAATAAAATATTTATTAGAACAACTATGATTGAATTTAGTAATAGAAGTCTTCTGATGTTTTTTAGACTCAAATTATTTATCGTGCTTGCTATAGCGATCTAAAACTCATCTTTAATACGAGACTTCTACCGAGGAAAAATCAATTTTGGAGTACTCCATATTCAAATAATATCAGATTGAACGTAGGGTAATCATTTTTTTTTTCAAAGTTTATTCCAGACAGAGTAATTTGATGTCGAAATTCATATGTCATATTTTAATTTTAAGGTTAGATGACTCAAAAAAAAAGGATGGAAACTCTGCTCAATAGACAATATCAATTAAGAAACAGTTAAATGATTTAAAAATATATTTTGTTAAAAAATCCGTTAATAGCTCAATCTGATTTAGTTACTTGACAAGCTTTGTTTCTCTTTGTAAATAAGTTATTATCATCATATCATTCATCTTTATTAATAAAGAATATTTATAGATATTATTTAATGTCTTCCAAATTCTTTTTAAAAAATATTCAATTAATAACATTTGATGTTCACAATGTTCTTCTAACAGTACGAAATGGTGCTCCTTATCAATATGCTCGTTTAGCTCGTCAACATTTGAACCTTCAATCGATTGATGAATCTTTACTTCGATCAAATTTTATTCAAGCTTTTCGAACAATAAATATAACTCATCCAGGTTATGGTGTTAATACTAACATATCATCTCGTCAATGGTGGACATTAATAATTGAATATACATTTAAAGATTATCAATTATCATCGATACAACTTGAAAAATTAAGTAAAATAATTTATGATGAATTTGCTAAAGGTGATATGTGGATAAAACATTCACAAGCTGATTATATTTTAGAAAAATTAAAAAAAAAGAAAATACTTGGTGTTATTTCAAATTTTGATGAACGTCTTGAATCACTTCTTGAACAGCATAATCTTCGACAATATTTTCAATTTATTTTAACACCTCGTAATTGTGGATTGTATAAACCACAAACAGAAATTTTTTCTTATGCTGCAAATTTAGCAAATATTCAATCAAATAATAATCTATGTCATATAGGTGATGATGTTAAACTTGATTATCGAGCAGCAAAAGCAGCAAATTGTCATGTTTTATTACTTAGTAAAAATGAAGAATCAAAGAAAATTTTATTAGATGAACATCAAGATATTGATAGAAATGATATTATTTTAAATCTAGACGAATTATTAAATTTATTTATTTAGAGATTTATGAAAATTTAATTTGATAATAAAAATATAGAATGGAATTGTTAAACTTCTATTCATAGATCAAAATTTATGAAAAGTTCAACAAAATTTTTTGATATTTTCTCAATAATTCAATTGATACGAATTGATTTAGTAATCTAAGATTCGAGTATATCCATTAAGCAAATCTTCTAGTCTCAAATTCATGTTTCACTGATGAACTGCATGTATACTGATGTAAAGTTTGCCTACACAGATAATTAAATGGCTTCATCTATTTGAGTTCGATCTTCAGAAAATTTGGAAAAATGAACAATGAGTGCGATCAATCGTTTTTGGCTTCGATTTGAAAAAAACTTTTGGCTCTAGTTTCGCGCTTAATAACACATACTAGCGAAAAATGTGATCTCGTTTTCTAACCGTGCCAATAATCTATTCTGCAGGTTTGTGTGTTTGACAATACCGTTGTTTACGAAAAAAAAAGGATTCATTCTACTATCAAAACTGTAACAGTAAATATTTAAGTGATCGTTTCTCAGTGGTTTTCGTATAAACTTGTAGAACATGGGAGTCATGACAATATGACGTTTGACGAAAGTTTTAAACGATCATAAAAAGCATCACTTCCAATGAAAAATTATTGGTCTTGGTTCCGCTCTTGGTACCACTAAGGGAAATATCCAACTAGAAAAACTGCATCATTTTTTATACCTCTCTACATTAATGATACTCAAAGTCAACATTGATGCAAGAGAAGATTCACAGTTACATCGACACTTACACCCACCAACATTACATATCTTAACATAAGTGAAGTTTTACTTAGAGTGAGAAGCATCATTGTAAAGTTAAAGCCACAAATGTTGACTGTTGCAGTCAAAGAAGGTGTTTTTCAGATTGAAAATGCGAAGAATTTTTGAAAAGTATTCATATTTATATTGTAGCTCCATGGTATAAGTTTCATAGGTGAAAATCAAGATTTTCTCTACATTTATGATGCAAGAGTCACCATTTACGACTATCTAAGTCTACACCTAGGCTTATCTTCTCTACGTTTACAGTTTTTGTTATGAGACATAGAATTTTGAAACCATGAATGTAGAGAAGATTTTTAAAATAACGTGCGATGCAAAAGCATCCGTACAAATGTCGAGCTTGATTCTGAGCTCGCATGAAGCGCTAAGAATCTGATTCTTTGACCACTAGATAGAGCAAAGTCCGGAGAGTAAAAATGCATTTTTCAAAAAAAAATGTTGACTTTTCGAAATGCCCAAATTTCGTTATTTTAAGTGGCGCCAAAAATGCCTTATCACAACGCCAATTTTTTAATTTTGCTTGCCATTTTGGGTGTTTAATGTTTTTCCAAATTTTTTCAGCCGAATCTGATCAGTCCTATAAGGCATGGTATTGGAAAAAAATTTGAACACAATTGCTACTCGCATGACCGAGATATTCACTTTTTTCTTTTAAGCAAAAATGGCGCCAAATGAAATTTTTTGTCTATTTTTTGGGGAGCAGATTCCTGCGCCCAAAGTTTCCGAGGCTCTAGTTCAAAATCCATATTCTTGTAGAGCTTGAAAAGCTGAATCTAGACCATGGTCTACTTCCAGTTTTTGCCGCGAACAAGACGGACAGTCTCTGTCGCGGGATCTGTCACTAGAAAAACTGGTTCGTTTAGTAAAAAGCGCTCCGCAGCTGGCTACCATGGAGACAGAATAAATAAAAACTAAGTTTTTTCCAAGAGCACACCTAAGTGCGCATATGCCGAAAATTTGACTGAGTTTGACCGTAGTTTGCCAAAGGTACTATAATTACAAAATATTTTTAGTTGCCGAAAATCGAAAGCGTGACAAGGTCTTTTTGGCGCCACTCAAACTAATTAAATTTGGGCATTTCAAAAAGTCAAAATTTTTTTTTGAAAAATGCATTTTTACTCTCCGGACTTTGCTCTATCTAGTGGTGAAACAATCAGATTATTAGCGTTTTATGCGAGCTCAGGATCAAGGTCGACATTTGTACGGATACTTTTGCATCGCACATTAGTGAAAGTTTTCTAGTTGGACATTGCCGTAATTTCGAACTACAAAAGAAAAGTAAATTACATATTTGCGTCAAAACAAATACTAAGATGCATGAATGAATATTATCGATGCTGAAGTGCTAAAAATTGTTCATAATGCGATTAAAATTAATCTCAGATCATGTTTAAATGGACAAATAGCAACAGATGACACTGCTTATGTTAAATTTTAAATGGATGTTTTATTTTTTTGTGCGAAAGTTATCTACTTTTCTTGTACAGAATAAGTAATATTCAAAATAAAATTTTTTTAATGATTTTATCTACTCACTTCTAAAAGCTAAAATCATTGATTTGAGTACAGATTCTTTTTTTTTTAAATATTATATAATTCAATAAAATGTTAAAACTACATTTTTTCGTCAAGAAAATGTCGTCATATACAAACGACATCTAGTGTTAATAAAAATTTCAATAAAATTTTCTCTTCTAATGTCAAATAAAAGAAATGAAAAAATTTTTTAAATAAAATCTTTTTAAAATATTTTTTAATAGATTGAAACAAAAATTTCAACTCGATCGTTTGATCTCACTTGTTTAATATGTTCATTGGTCAAATGACCAACAGGTTTTCGGTATGTAAAATAACATAAGAAATAGTTTGTTTATTTGTTCTGTTGAATAGTGTTATTTAAATTTAGCTTTTTTTTTTCTTTTTTGAGAAAATTCAACTAAGAAATTTTTCAATTTTCTAGATTTTCTTTTCAACAGAAAAACCAAGAAAAAGAAATTATGTCAAACGAACATCTTGTTCTAAAAGGCGCTCTTGTCGGTCACAATGATTGGGTTACACAAATCGCAACAACACCTCAATTTCCCGATATTGTTCTCTCGGCATCACGTGACAAATCAATTATAATATGGCAATTGAATAATCAACATGATCCAAGTGGTGAACCAACATCATGTGGTGCACCAAGTAAAGCATTACGTGGTCATTCACATTTTGTTTCTGATGTTGTTATATCAAGTGATGGCCTTTTTGCTGTTAGTGGTTCATGGGATGGATCACTTCGTCTTTGGGATTTATCAGTTGGTACAAGTACACGACAATTTGTTAGTCACAAAAAAGATGTTTTAAGTGTTGCTTTTTCGGCCGATAATCGACAAATTGTTAGTGGTAGTCGTGACAAAACAATTAAATTATGGAATACAGTTGGACAATGTAAAAAAAAAAAAATTAAATATTTGAAATAAGAAAAAAGAAAAAATTTCTTTTTTGAATTTAGGCAAATATACAATTGTTGATGATAATCATACTGATTGGGTTTCATGTGTACGTTTTAGTCCTAATCAAAAAGATCCACTTATTGTTTCAGCTGGTTGGGATAAACTCGTTAAAGTACGATATGAAAATCTTTAACATAAAAAAGAAAAAAATCCTATTTATTTTTAATCATTATAAAAGGTTTGGAATTTAACTAATTGCAAATTACGTACAAATCATTATGGTCATAATTCATATATAAATACAGTTACTGTATCACCTGATGGTTCATTATGTGCTAGTGGTGGCCGAGATGGTCAAGCTATGTTATGGGATCTTAATGATGGAAAACATTTATATACACTTGATAGTGGTGATATTATCAATGCTTTATGTTTTTCACCTAATCGATATTGGCTCTGTGCAGGTATATAAAGAAAAAAAAATCATTGAATATATATGTTAAATAAAAAACATTGAAATCATTTTAACTTTTAGCAAGTGGAACATCTATTAAAATTTGGGATTTGGAAACAAAAACAGTGGCCGATGAAGTTAAATCCGAAAAACAATGTACATCATTGGCATGGTCAGCTGATGGTCAAACATTGTTTGCTGGTTTTACTGACAAACAAATTCGAGTATTTGAAGTTCGACCACGTTAAATTAAACAAAATGACAACAATAATAAAAGAAGAATATTTAACATCATTAATAACAATAATGTTGCTTTTGTATGATCGACTAATTTTTAATCTTCTTGTTTTTGTTGTCAAAATAAGAATAAGAAAAAAAAGAAAATGATTTCTATCCGTTATTAGTAAAATGGCTTTTGAAAACAATTTAACAAACGATTTTCATTAGCTGAAATAAAACGAAAAAAACAATGTTATTTAATATATTCAATGCGTTTTTTTATTCAAAAAATATTCATCATGATTAAAACAATATGTTCTTCAACATTGTATTCAAAAAAGAATAAAAGATCTATTCAGTAGAATACAACAATAATAATAAAAAAATATGATCTATTTTTTACTCATTTTGAAAATTGAAAACATTTAGTTGTAATATGTCCGTTCATTTTGAGTCATTAAGTTTTAATCATGATGTAATAAATAGTCAAGATAATAACTTACCATAACTTTCGTAGTTGAAAATTTTATTCAACTAACTTGCTGTTCTTAATACTAATCATTTCTCTAAATCTTTTAAACACGCAGTTTTTAAGGCCTCCCCACTCTTAGAATAGATTTTTCACTTAGAACGGGTCATTTATGCTGAAACTTTCAGGAATCAGTAGTTCTGGTGAGAAACTCTTCGGATAAAAATTTCAGTCTGATATATCGAAGTAGAATAAATTTATGGCTTATTGATAACCTTGAGGAGAATCTTTATAACTTTGCCATTACAAAATGTACAGAGCTCAAGGTAGTTTGAAATTATATCCAATACTCTGGAACAGTTTTTCTCCGACCAGATTTTCGAAATTCGCTTTCATTCATTTTTTATGATCATTTTAGCACATATAATGTTAAAATAAGCAAAAAACATATCATCGAACAACACTAAGTCTCGCTTTTCTCAGCAATAAAAGGCAACTATACAAAAATGTGGTCGATTAAAAGTTTACTCTCGTTTGGATCTGTAAAATAAAGAAAAGGTTGTTTATATTGTGAGCTGGGTGAACGTTATTTCAATTTTTCTTATTGAAAAACCATGTTCTGAGAGAAACGCTATGAAGTTCAAATATAGATTTTCTCATTCAAATACTTCGAAAAAAAGTATGTTAAAATCACATATTTATAATAAATAGAGATGGAGTTTTTCAAAGTACGTAGCAGCTGACATAAGTTAGTACTATTGACCATGCTTAAATTACATAAGAATGCTAATTCAGTGCTGATTTGAGCTAAAAGGCAATCTTCTCAAACCTAAAAAACTTTAAAAATTGTACGAAATTTTCTTGGAAAACCGAGTGGTAGGCTCGAAATTTCTTTCCAAAGGCTACTAAAATTTGACATTTTTCCTGAGAAATCATGTGTATTCGGAAAAAGAAAACATCGCTGCATATATTTGTGACAAAAACTGAACTTCAGTTTTTCTTCGAAAAAGTGGATTTTCTGAGAGAAGAACCTTTAAAAGAGTAAACATTAAAACTAAGATAATAATATAATAATGTTTATACTCGTCTTCATCTTGGACTATGGAACTTCATTGCTTTTTTATCTTTTTTTTATTTGATAACCCTTTAAAAAAAAATAGACATGCCACGGGCAGGAATCGAACCTGCGTTATCCGGACCACAACCGGATGTACTACCATTATACTACCGCGGCGATAAATCCTTGTCAAAATAAGAATTTTGATTTAAAAGTAATCTGTATAACTTAATGATTATACTATGGCAATGATAAACTCATCAATGAAACTTTAGTATGTGTTAATTTATGAAGTGAGCACGTTTTATATTAATTTTCTTTTTTCAAAATTTCTATTATGCTCATCAGATGCGAAAGAGTTGATTTCGATTGCATAATTCGTTCTTTTCTTTATTATAACTTATTATTTTCAAACATAGACTATTGAATCATATCGTTTCTTCGCTAAAGAAAAATTAAAGTAAAACAAAAAATAGAGAATGATGATTGTCTTCTCAACTTTGTTATTGTAGTTTATCAAAAGATTTTAATAAATTTTTATCCTGTATTTCTATCTAAAAATTGTTATAATTAAACAATTAATTATTATTCGATTAATGTCCAATTATGATATTCTACTTATTGTTTTGTTTTCAAGAATATATTATCTGATTGTTAATTCTAAGAACAAAAAAAATAGACATGCCACGGGCAGGAATCGAACCTGCGTTATCCGGACCACAACCGGATGTACTACCATTATACTACCGCGGCGCAGTAGCCTTTCCAAAGTTAGTCTTTTGATGAAGAGCGATGATTTTAACCCTTCTATCAATACTTAGTTCATGTTGACTCTAAAACCGCACACATGCTCAAAGAATAAGAAAAGATTTTTTTAAGATACGTTATAGCGAAATCTTTTTATTTATTTAAAAAACTAGAACCTAATTTCGAACAAAAACTACAATAAATAATACAAAGATAATGTCTCTGGCAGTTTATCTATGAATTTATTTTTTCTGTTCTTCAACAAGTTTTGTAGTAGCTTCCTTTGGTTCACCAGATTTTGTAGCTTCTTGTTGTTGTTCAACATATGGTGCTTCTATTTTCAATTGACCATCATCAGTTAAATGTGATTGAAGTTGTTCAACTTGTGTACCTGGTGGTAATGTTGTTGGTTTGAAATAGAATGATCGTTCACAACTATTATCATCTTTATGTCGACGTTCACCTTTGATAATTAATTCATTATTCTTTGTTGATACTTTGATTTCTTCTGGTTTACAGTTTTTCATTTCAATAGACATTTCAAGTTGTTTTTTATTATCACCTTTATCAACAATTTGTGGTTGAAAATCTGAACCATGCAAGAAACTACCATAATCAAAATGTGGATCTCAATGTTGACCAAATTGACTTAGATTTTGATTTTCATTCTTTGCTTGAGCAACTCGACGTTCTACTTCAGGATTATGAATTGGAACCTCAATAACTAATATCTTATTTGGTGTTACATATGATGCTAAATGATTTGGATCTATATAAATAAAAAAAAGATGAGTATTGAAATTTCATATAAAAAATAAGTTTTTACATACAAGCATGTTCAGGTAATGCATATGATTTTCGTAATTCTTGAATATTGTAATCGTCATCAGGTTGACGTTCTTCTTGTTTAGCTTCGACAATTACTTTTCGACCTTCAACTTTTGTTTGAATTATTTCTGGATTGAATTTAGCTACATTAAGTTGAACACGAAATTTTTCCAAATTAGATCCATTTTATTTGTATTTTTGTCACCAGTTTGTGCATTACCTGATGATTACATTGATCGTTGTGATTCATTAACCCATCGAAAAGTATTTGGAATTATAACAACAGCTGTTGGTGCTGTATTTAAATCATGCCATGGATCAAAGAAATCCAATTGATCACCAAAATATCGATTGATTGGATCATCATAAAGACGATAATGATAGATTGGAAAGAATGCTATTGTTAAAATTGAAGAAGTGTTTTGCTCAGAAAGCTTTTTATAGTCACAACTGATTGTTAAATTATCTATTTAGAAAGTATTCACAGACACATATTTATAAGGGTGATAATGTGAGAGTAGAAAATTGAAGATTTACCGTGGATATTCTTGAATATTCGTGTTTGCTCGTTGACATTTCAGCTATTTTTTTCTTTTTTATCATTTTTTTGTTCTCTTTCCATTTGTTTTTTTTCTTTCCAGCTGATGAATGACGTTGATGACCATCATGTAAGAAAGAAAAAAGGATTTGATATCATTACATAGAACACATGTAAATATGCAATTGTTTTCAGTGAAGCATACTATTTTATTCGCCTGTAATATTTGACAGTATGCAACGAGGGTGATCTGAGAATTCTCTCTGAACTTCTCGTTGGATATGTAATTACTTACAACAACTCGAATTCTTTACTTCTATATTTCAGTCTTAGCTAGAGCCAATCTTGTTTAAGTGGCATTTTCGCAGCAAGTCAAGAACACTTCAAGCTTTTTGAGAGTTGATCCATTGCCCAAAATAGTACTTTTGCCAGCTGACGCATAATCTAGGCACATGAACACTTGTACAAAGAGATCAATATTGTAAATATGATATTAGTACCCAAAGCTATACTAATAATGGAAGTATTTGTTCTATCTGAAGATTGGTATAAGATGTAAATAAGCGGCTAAGATGACTGAGTTTCTCTTGTATTATGTGAAGTTTATTATCAATAAAAAGAACATACAATAACTAAAAATTATCGTGCGAGAAAAAATAAAATTTAATTTTCAAATTGCTCACAACAATTTAGACAAATATTTTTGGTTGAATCGCATGTTATAAAAAACACTGTTCTATTGCAGAATTGTTCAGAATGTCAATTAATAACATACAAGATAGAAAGTCTTACCAAGCAAACATGTTTCATATTGAATTATATTCATTTAGATTCGTTTTCATTCTTCAAAATACAACAGAGTATATGAACTGGATAGAGTTTTCAGTAGAATTAAATAAAGGGTCGAACACGCAAAAAAAATAAGGAATTAAATTATATTGATCGTGTGAAGGAAGAGCTTCATTAACTACATAATAAAATGAAGATTGATTTGCGTTCATTCTAATGTATAATGCATAGTTCATGTTAATTCATCTTCTAAGTGACTTTTCGCTAGTTGATCACAATATAACTTGACTCCCCAAAGCATTTATTTAACATCAGGAACACATCAAACCAATGGTTGAAGAGCTTTCTTAAGAGAGACTAGCGGTGTATCTTCATATCTTTGACATGGAGAAGTCATTTTATTTGATTTTAATCCTAACGAGGTAGTCTCCTAAATATTTCCTTCCGATTTGAAGCCATACATCCCGATTCATCAATAGGTCTTTTTTCATTTCAAATAAAATATAACAATTTATGGAGAAGCAGAATTTTTCTGTCTTTCGTCAAGAAAATATTGATGTTGAAAATGAAAATCATTGTATTCAATTAAAGGAGAGACCCATTTGAATGTGCTGATTTTATTTTATTTATTTAGAGAATAATCATCAATCTAACAAAATAATAGAATCTTTTTCCAATCGAATGATCTTTGAAACGATGATATGTTTTAAGAATAAAACAATTTTGTAAAATCTAGTAACTTTGAATAGTTTATTGTTTGAGTGGTCATCATTTATTATAAAAGTGTTCTATGATGTGGTTGACCTTCTTTTTTTTTAATGAATGGATAATCAAGTTTTAATAATGTTCAAGATAATATTTTGTATTATCAATTTTCAAAACATGATCTAATATTTAAATGATAATGTTTTATACTTGAAACCAATAAGAACAGAAATCAAAAGCAAGCTAATAATTCGATCTAGTAAAAAAGATCAATACTAAAATAAATGTTGACTGATTTGAAATAAAATTATAATTATTTTAAAATATATTTTCATTTTTTATCATCTTTATCAAAATATTATTTTGTTACACTTGATCTCAATTAATAATAAATCATTGTATTGTATTTTCTATTCTATTGACAATCACTTAATACACCTACTCAGTAATTGCTTTTCGATGAATGATTGGGTGATGATATATTTGTTATATAAGCTTTAGTAAACTTCTCTTATATTTTAAACAAATGCAGATAAACAGTGCACATGGATGAATTGCATTTCGAAGATGAAAAAAATTTCTATTACATAAGTTTGAACAGTTTTTTTTTTAAACATTCCTTAGTTCCTACTCTACTTGGAGTAAAATTTTCAAATCTGTTCTTTGCCTGGCATTACTTCCGAGTATTTCTTGGTAACTGTAAGAGATTAGTCAATAACTTTTTATCAGTTTTATTTTCATCTTCTTTGATTTCAATTTGTTCTTCTAAGCTTGAGGAACGTTTTTAGACATTTTTTACTGACAATACTCAATTCTTTGAGTGACCGAGAGGTTTACAGATACATGTTGGTTAGATTCTTCTTTTTAACGTCTTTAGATGGATATTTGATAATATTGTATACAATCTCATTCACAATCTTTTTTCGAAAACTCAAAAATTGACAGTTGAAAAAATACTTGAATTATATATAACTACTAATAGAGTTCTATTGCAATTCAACCATATGCTTGTTGTCTATGATATCATATAAATCGTTAAAATAAAAAGTAGAATATGAGACAATATTTTCGATATAGATTCACTGTTTCGATCAGTTTTATGTTTTACAGTATTTGTTATCCTCTCCTTAAATACAAACTAAGAATCTTTTATGTCATTTCGACTTTATTTACTTGAATAAGTGGAAAATATAATAAAGAAAAAAAAAAAATTTTATATTATTGTTTATTGATATTGAACTTCAATTGAACGTGCTTGTGTAGGTTCAATAAATGGTGCTTCAATTTCCAATTGTCCATCAGGATTTAAAAATGATCGTAATTGATCAACTTGTGTACCAGGTGGTAATATAATAGATTTCGTTAAAAATGATCGTTCTGAACGATTATTATCATTATAACTATGTTCAGCTTGTACAAGTAATTCATTATTTTTAACTGAAACTTTGATTTGTTCAGGTCGATAATTTTTTACTGCTAAAGACAGTTTTATTTGTCGTTGCCCATTACCTACATCAACTACGCGAGGACGAAATTCCGATGAAGCCAAAAAACCTGGATAATCAAAAATAGGATCACGATATTGTCCAAATAACAAAAGAGCTTGAGGATCAGCAAGTATTTGAGATTGACGATGTTCTAGTTGAGGAATATTAATGGGTACTTCAATGACAAGCATATTATTTGGAGTAACAAATGAAGCAAAATTATTTGAATCTATTTAAATTAATATATAAATATTGATATTTAAATATGAAAAAAAAATTTTTTTCTTACCAGCATGTTCAGGAAGATCATATGTTTTTCGAATTTCTCGAACACTAAAATCACCATTCGATTGACGATCTTCTTGTTTAGCTTCGACAATTACTTTTCGACCTTCGACTCTTGTTTTAATTGTTTCTGGATTGAATCCAGCTACATTTAATTGAACACGAAATTTTTCTGATTGAACCGGAATTGGAACTGGTATCAGATTATTTGTAATTGGAAGAAGAGTATTACCACCAGCAAGATTATTTGATGTTGTATAAAATGATGATGCTGATGATGATGATGCTGCTGATGATGCTGCTTTACGAGCTATTCGATGTGGTTGATGAATCCATCGAAATGGATTTGGAAAAGCTGATAAAGCTGTTGGAAATGTATCGAAATCACGCCATGGATCAAAAAAATTCAATTGATCACCAAAGAATCGATCGAATGGATCATTGAATAAACGATAATGTTGAATTGGAAAATAAGCCATATTGTGTTGTTATGTAAACTAAATAACAGCCAGTAAAAAAGAAATGGTATGCGTTGTAGACTTTGGACGATATTTTTATATAGGTTGGGTATACGTCAGAATGTAATTAAATTGCGTTGTTTACATGTGCGTTCGAGAAATTATTTACGTATTTCTTCTCGTTCTCTTTTTTTTCAATATCTCGAATGACGTATAAATGTTCTGTTTTTGTATGAAAGAAGCAGAGAACAGGTATTGATCATATGTGGTTTGAGTCCTTGATACAAAAAAAAAGCACGAGCGTGATTTATGTAAAGAAGATAGCTATCAAAAAAAAAAAAACTTTGCATACGTCATCGAGCTAACCTTGATTTAGCATATGTGAGAATATGCTTTTTTTATTTTTTTTCAATTGCGTATCCTTAGGAAATAATAAAATCTTCTGAATAACATCAGTTTGACGTCAATCGGATTGATAATTTTAACCAAAAAAGATGGCCTTGAAAGGTTAGAAAAATATATAACATAGAAGATGAGTAAAGTAGAAAGGGGTTATTGAATACATTAATTGCACAATGCAATTTCAAAATGTTGATATCACATAATTTATTGAATTTCATTTGATTACTAAATATTCTGATTACTATTTTATGTTGACGATCAAATATGGTGATTTACTTTGAGATACAGAGTAAAACTCTAATGATAAGCAAAATATTTAAGTGCTTTACTATGAAGAAAAATATTGTATATTTGAAAAAAACTTGCCAATGCGGCCCCATGAGGAGCCAACATGCAGAAGTCACAAGCTCGGACTGTCATAAAATCATGACATATTATCAGGTGAATTAAAATAATCTATTTAAGAAAATACCAAATAAATATATAAATTAAAATTATTAAAATATTTATAGTCGACAGGAGTGCTCTGAAATTTTATCCTTTCGGAAACGTTTATATTTAAAATAACTATTCTACTAATTTATTACATTTATTTAACATCGTTAGACTGAATAATAATAATATATACAATGTATACCATAAGAAGCAAACGAATATCATTGTATTCTTCGTTTCGTCGATTCAACTATCATATAGGCCTGCTACACATATTGATTTAATCGTTCAGTAAGCATCTGAGCACACGTTCCTTTCTCTTGGTGAACTTTGACATATACTGTCTAGTTTTGCCTAAATTTAAAATTAAATTAGTTCAAAGATTCTTTATATTCAGCTTATTTTAACTCTGCTAGATAAATAAGATCATCACTATATTTATAGACACTTATCATAAAATTCTTTTGTTACATTAAATACTGAAACTCACAATATTTAGACGAGTTAGAATTTACATTAGACATTTAAAATTCACAGAATGCTTTAGAAGATTCTACAAAGTTTCAAAATCATTTAAGTAATATTATTATTGATGTGCTGCTTTTTCGTTGATTGAAAAACGTATTTAATAATCTTTGACTTCTCATTTACCATCTCAAATTGTTAGAAACTAAGGAAGAGCCGAAAAAATCTAGATTTAAACTAATATTCTGTGTTTTCTTCTAAAATATATGTGAGTTTCACAAAATGATTTTTTTACTAAACTAAAATCTATTAAATATTGAATAGTATTACACAAGTTTCGAAGAGAAATTTTAAGTCTTCTAACGACACGTATTTCGTGATATTTCGTAATCGGTCTCTATTGGACTATGTCTACATGATTGTGACACATTTTGCGTTATATTTAATTTATTTTTAAGGTTTTTATTAAAATAGTTGAAAGATACTTTCCACCAAGAAAGAACAATAAATTGTTCACACTGCATTTGTTTCAAATATTTATTGTTTTATAATCAATTTTAGGTCATTTTCAACTGATTGACGTTTCAAAGAAGTAAGTTTTACATTAGTAATTGTTATTAGCGTCAAATGAACCATAAAAAAGAGGGAACTTCTCGCTTTTCGTTAGTATCTAGCGTTGTTATCATTTTGAATCAACATTTTTCAATTGTCGTAAAATGCTATATCAATGTATCTCTTTCATTTCGAAAACTAAACAGAACTTTAGAAAACTATTGAATGTAACTTTCAAAATTCTTTATTTTTCAGTTTTAGTTCTATGTATTTCGTTCAGTTTTAAGCTGTATTATAATACAATTCTGCATTCATGGTTTCGAGCACGTTGCCATTAATAAAGCCGGTTTTTACTAACTAAACTGTAATTATAAAAAACTCCTTAAAGAAATTGGCACGTATGTAATATTCAAAAACATATAAGCAAAGAGTAAAACAAAAGTAATACTTCAGTACTCGAAAATGCAAGTGAAATATCCTATTTCGGATTAATAAAATCTTTCTTTCTCTTTCCTTGAACATGGCACAATTTCGAAAGTGACACTCAATAGTTTATTAAAACATTGTTTTAAGTATTAGAAATGAAAGAGACAATCTTTGTTAAATAAAATCGAAAGGAAAGGAGTAGACTTCAAGATCGGAGCCTCGACTATTCTCCTCTCGAACAAAATAAATCAGTTTTAACAAAATTCTATAGTCATTTTTTTTTTAAATAATTCATCCAAAGTTTGTCTTATACAACAATAATAAAATAGGTTTTAGAATCTCTTAATTCTTTTCTACGAGGTTGTTCTGCTTGTTGTACTGGTTTCAACACATAGACTGTTGCAATGCCTCTAATTTATATGGTAGTTCATATATGAGTAAATTATTCTTGTTATTCTGTTTGAAGCAAAATTAAATAGTTTATTTTTATACGAAAATTGAATATCTTAATTAGAAATTGATAATAAGTTATGTTCATTGAATGAAATATTTCACGTTTTCTTGTTAGTCATTTACAGTCGATGTATAATAAATGAATATTATGGTTTTTCATCAGTTACTGGTGCACTAGTATCACTGGATTTTGTAAATGTTCCACTTTGCGTATCATAATCTGTCGGTGAAAGAACAGCGAACTCGACTCCTCGTGCATATGATACTGGAGATCGTGTTCTAGAATGTGATCGTTTAGTTGATGGCGGTAAGAGATGTGATTTTGCTGTCAACAAACAAAAAAACTTGAGTTTTTAGAACATTGCAAAAAAAACAGAACTTACGAGCACCAAATCTTGGAAGAGGTGGTTTGTGATCCACGCCGTCAGAAGGTATGCTTGATTGAGCTAATTAATATCAAAAAATAATTGCAAAATCGAAAGCAAACAATTAAGCTATTTAGCAAATTTAGGTAGAATAGTCTAATCGAATCAGCAATATATACCTCAAGACATCAAGATTTTGTTATGATTACTTCACTTAACTATTTTTTTTGTAGATATTAGAAGAAAAATATGAATATAATTTTATTACTTTGATTGCCGTTGTCTAGGGTTGTATTTGATTGATATTGTTGATCACCATTTGTCGTTGGTTGAGCTGATGATGAGTCTGTCATATCTACAATGAGCTATGTATAAAAATCTGTTAATTATGTTATAATAAGTATCATCATGAACACGTTTATTTAATTTAAATATCATTGTTAGTACATGAATTAAAGTAAACATAAGAGAATTCTAATAGAAAAAATAGATCTCTTAGTTTATTGTTAGTTTGACTTGTGTTATTTTTTTTTTGGTTTTATAATCATCAAGTACTTTTGTGCTATATCTGTGACAAGTAAAGTTGAGATTTACACAAAATTAAACAAAGTTCTTTTCAAAAAGACTTATAAACTACTAAAAATGAGGATAGAGAATTGGTCTTATATATTAAACTGTGTTCAATCTTTGATTGTGGTTTAGTTGAATTTAGAAAGTTGTAGAATTTGCAAGTGTATTCAATTGAAATTTAGTTTGTCTTAAGAAGTTCCAACCAAAATAAAAGAATACATATTAAGGCTAATGTTTTTGTGAGTAGCATTTTTTTATCAATGTTTATTTTTCTTCGAATTATATTGGGTTCATGGATGATGTGTTAAATATAAGTATATTATGCTATTAATTTGTATTCCAACTAAAATACCAATTAATGATATTTTGTAGTTTATATATTCCATGTGATAAAATAATGAATGTCTTCTTTTGAAACTTAAGACTCCATACATTTTAAATGTTAATTCATTTGTTCATAGAAATATTTCTGAAACTCATTTTTCGATGTTGACATAGAAAAAAAATCATTGATGCATATATTACAAAATAAATACAAATGAATATTTTGTCGCTTAACAATAAAGTACATGCTATGTTTTTTTAATGCAAATGAAAATTAACGTTTATTTTGAAACCATTTTTTCATCATTTTGTATTTCTAATTAAAAACAAATTGTTCCCAAATTCAACTTTGCGTACGACATCTACATGATGATGTTTGACGAAAATATGTCTATGCATTATAAATTTATACAAATAAACTTTGTTATATTATGAAATATACATAAACAAAACAGTATTTTTATAATGATGACTTCACATTACTCACACCCAAGGAACACTTGATGATTCTCTTTTAGTACTAATATCAAATATTTATGCAAGTATACATAACACTCTTATAGAGAGCGCCACAATCGATCAGATATGTTTGAAGATAAATTCCTACGTGTTTGATTTCATGGTAAACTAATCATTCTTTAATGCAATGTCTTATGAATGAAAAGTAGTTCAATAATTTTAAAACGTTATTTCATATAAATTTATTATGACTAGTCGAAAGATCAAACCAATCAAAGATGTACGGCTGAACCCCTCCTAACATTGTTCGCATATAATGGCAAAGTTGTCGATGGTCGCTAGTTTATTTCGCCTACTCAAGTAAGTTTTTTTTATGTTTTTTTGTTCTGGGGCTTTTATCGACATTTATTAATTACTGAAAATGAAAACTCCAATACAAATGAACAGTATTAACATTGGCATAACTGATTGTGCACGTTATACAAATTATGAACGATGGTTTCTCGATGCACCGATCAAAGTTGATGTTATTCGTCTTTCGTATAATTTAAATAATATTGATGATATTGATAAATGTCATGGTATTGTTTTATCTGGTGGTGAAGATGTTGATCCACGTCGATATAAAAGACCAGATCTTCTTGGTCAAGTAGAATTTACTGATATTGATGAAAAACGTGATGAATTTGAATGGGAAGTTATTGAACGAGCATTAAAACTTCAATTACCTATATTAGCTATATGTCGTGGTTAGCATATTATTCTATAGGTATCTATAGAATATATTTCTTATTCTATAAATAGGTATGCAATTATTTAATGTTTATCAAGGTGGTACATTGATTTTTGATATTCCAAAAGTTACAAATATTAACGGACATGCAAAAATACAAGGTATTTTTTCGAAAAAGTTTAAGAAAATTTTGAGATGTCAATCTTTTAGAAATGTATTTATTTAGAAATGTTTAGTATAGGATATAAGCACAAAGAATAACAATGCTTTTCTCATTGCTACATGTTTTTTAAGTGTTCGTTATTTCATAATCAATTGAAATGACGTAACTCATTAGAATAAGAAGTAATGATAAAATACTATGTAAATTAATCTTTTTTTTTGTTTTTGTTTTAAGATTTGTAATATATTTATTAGCATTCGATGATTTATAAAGTAATACAATAGCTAAAGACAACTTAGATTAAATAAGATAAACACAATTAAAATTAACTTCTTAAAAGTTTTTAACTCATTACTGTCACGTGAATTGGTTTACATTTTATATGATGAGAAATTTTAGGAAAATTCAAATTGAGTAATTATGTAAAAGAAAAATGTATTCATCGATTTTACTATTCAGAAAAGTGTTTAATAATAGCAGATAAAATTTGTCAAAGATATGCTTAAAAATCTCTGTCTATTAGCGGTGATGGATCGAAAATTTTAGTAAATGGAAATTATAATTATCGTAAAATGTTTTTTTTTGAAGTTAATCTAGAGGTCGTATCGGGTCATTTCTGAGCGTTTTTCGTTGAGAAAAATAAAGAAAGACTCGGAAGGAAGAGACGACCACCCTCAGTTCTTCCTCCCTTTCTGAAGCTGCCACTGTCTATTAAATGAATTCAAGCAAAATACTGAGATTTTACTGCGTAATAGAGATAATACATTTTTTACTTCGTTTTTTTTTCTGGTGGAAGAATTGGACCTACCAAGAATGCTTTGATGAGAAAAGCAAGTCTAAAAGGGGTTCATCTTCATGAACATTGAAAAATAAATTATGACTGTTTTATTGAATTTCTGATCTGATGAGAGAACCTTCGCAGGTATCAAGTCGCTTTTCTACTTAGACGATTCTCATTTAATAAGTGATAGAAAAGTCGAGAATGGTTTAGTTTTCTGAGCCTTCGTTCTTAAGATATTGAAATTCTACTGATTATTTAGTAAAAAGCTATGGTCCTCCTAGGCCAAGTAGAAAGTCGGCTTTCGACGTCAAATTTTGCATGAACAAAGTTCTCCATAGTATTACATACTAGTACTCATTAAATGAATGTCGCCTCTATCGAAAAGTGATTCCACACTTGGACAGGTTCACTCGTGACATTTCTCTCATATAAAGGTCAAACCATCATTGCTTGAAAATTCAAGGAACATTCTTTTGGGCTGAAACTTTCAAGATATTCTACCAATCATTCGATCTGTTTATGGGCAAAAGACAATTCAATAAAACAGTCATACCTCGACAACAAAGGTCCATTGGGATAAGCATTTTTGAGTTTTTACTAGTCTCACTGATATTTGACTGAGAGTTTAAAATGAGCTCAAACGGCACGTATCAATTCCTATAGTTTCCTTATAAGAAAAACAATTGAAAAATTTATTATTCTACAATAATAGGTATGGATCAACGTCATGAAGTGAATGTTGTAGAAGAATCTCTTCTTAATAAAATAACCGGTTGTGTAAAAGGTGCTGTTAATTCTTCACATCATCAATGTGTTGAAACACTTGGCAAAAATTTATCAATAGCAGCAATAGCTGAAGATCCAATTGTTGAAGCAGTACAATACGAAAATACACAGGAATATCCATTTTATTTAGGCGTACAAGTAATACCCAAAAAAAAAACATATTTTATCTATCTAAAATTATCTGTTGATTTTTTTATTTCAATATAGTGGCATCCTGAACGAATGGTTGATCAAGATAGTCCATTTTCATATAATATTCGTCAAGCATTTCTTGATTATATTACTGAACGTGAAAAATCAATGGCAAAAATACAGTCAACAGAAGAAGATGATACATCAGAAAATATATCAAATCATGAATAAGTTTATTTTAATTAAGATGTTTTTATGACCATAAATAATATTGAAAACACTTATAATAGAAAAATTCTATACTTTTAATGTTTTCTAATTGTTTTTTTTCTGATATCTTTACTATCCTTCTATCTTTATTTGTCTTTTTATATATGTATTACATTCCAGGTTTTCTTTAGTGGTCCTTAGATCTAATTTTTATCTATTTTTTTTGTCAGCATCACAAAATTACTAACATTTATAATCAAGCAATCTTTTTAAAGTTAGAAACAGCCCCAGCTCTTCTCTCATATTCATTTTCATGAATGAATTTAGAGTCAGATCTCTGTTCTTGTCAATTGTCTATGTATTTCTGAACTGTAGATAAAGAATTTCGCAGTTTTTTTGTTTGCTGTTCCTTATATTCATTAACCTTTCATTGTCAATGATGATTAAATGTTACCCTTGTTTTAATTATTATAAATATTTCTGCTTCAATATAAAAGAAACAACACTAATGTACCATTAAATGTATATTTTTTAGATATGTCATAAAGCTTCAAAATAGAAAATGGTTTTGTTTAGTAAATTTCGACCGTTATTACAAACGGTATTAAAACCAACAGAACAATTACAAACAAGTACATTTTTGTTTGTGTTCATGAGAAAAATTAATTATACATGTATATGTAATTTCAGTTGTGAAACGATGGAGTTCAGAACGACGTATGCGAATGATGATATCGGAATTTCATGAACGGAAATTCTTCGATTTATTTGTAAGTTGTAGTACAAGTTTATTTTGCCAGAATAGATTTGTCTAAGCGTAGAAATTATCTAGAACTTCATTGCTTAATAAATCGATGCATCATATAAAATCGAGCTTTTCTTGCCGGATACAGTCGAACATATTAATCAGTGTTTTGTCTAGCATGGTGACGGCATCCCTCCGATATATATGTTATCTATTTATGCTTCCAAAAATAGTGTTCGCCCTTCCGAAAGAAACAATCTGAATAAAAAATTGATATTGATAAACAGAAAAAAAAATGTATAGCTTACGATATGTATGCGTGAGTGAATGACTAAAAAATGAGCATTGCATTTATTGTCTTAATAGAATGTAAACCACTATCTATTCACTCTTTATAACCATCACGAGTACTACGTAAACTTAGTCTTATAATTTTTAGTGTCTCATATTTAAAGGTAAAAGAGTATAAGTTTATTCAGGTCAGATAACAGCATTGTTAGAATAATCTTCTGAAATTTTCCTAGATTTTTGTTATACATTTCATCAATAGCCTTACGATAAAATATTGAAATATCTCTATTTCGACTCGCTCAAATGAGTTGATTTTTTGGTTAATGATAGAAACTTATTTACAACTTTTTTCATATCGATAATGAAAACATACTATTGTCAAGTAAAAAAAACGAGGAGTATTTGAACGGAATCTACGTTGAAATCTCTTTCTTACTATATGTTCATTCAAGTTCTATCATGTTTCGTCTTTCATTAAGAAGTACATCTTATACGAAAAGTTGGTCTGTAAATAGAAACGCAATGGCACAGAAGGTGTCGATCCTAAAGTATTTTCCTGTTTGTTTCGGTTTATGTTATGAGATGATGTTTATCTTTTTCTATATCAGATTAATGTTTCTATTCTCGAAAATTCATGTTGAAAATATTGTGAAATTGTTTAAGACAGCTGATCCTTAGGCCCAGAATCATTGGCTTAAACACATTCATAGAGTGAGTATATAGAGTCAATCGTAACCGTCATATTTCAACTGTATTTTTTTGCGTCATTGTTTCTAGCACAATGTAGAATTGATTGCATTGGACTGAGTAATTGGTTTTACAGATCATATTTTAGTGCTGTTTAAAGACAAAAGATGATATAGAACTATTCTGAAAATACAGTTCAGAAGAGTTTTCTAGATTAACTCTATACAAGTGCTTTTGAGGTCGTTCATACATGTTTTAGTCAATGAAAAATACACCGACATTTGTGCGAGAAATTTCGTATCACTTCTTATATTGACACACAGGTCTGAACTTTTGAAAATTCGAAACTTTCGAAAGCATTAATTTTAAACTCACTAGTTTTGAAAATTTTGCTGTATTGAAATGGTACATTTGTATTTTTCTTACTTAATGGCAAGTAAAATTACTTTCGTAATACCAACATCAATACATAATAGTATTATTTGTTTATCTCATCCGTATGAAAATAAAACTGTAAATAAACTTTTACGATTGTATGTAGATCAAAAGAGAATTCGATGTCAAAAACAAGAAATCATTTAAGTTCGATATGAATTCTTTAAAGTATAACTGAAAACCTACAAGATTTCGTTTTTTCAACTTGAACGAATTCGTATAAAAAGTTTAGAGCGTATATTCAGATGAAGAACCATGTTAGATTATGCAGCCCTGTCGAACTTATAAAGGTTTAGTAAAAAATCTACCTTTTTAGAGTGTAGACGAATTTCGAATGTGTGAGATTGAATGTGATCAATGGGATTTAATCAGTTTATCAATATAGTTTGAATTCATGAAATGTTGGACAGTTTTTATATACAAAAACTGATCATAACCTTACAAATTAAAACTTAATTGATGAACTGATGATTGTATTAATTAAAATGTCATCAGCTCATCAATAAGAATTCGAATCCAATATTGATCACCAGACTGGTTTTGAGCATTAACATTAAACTCCTTCTCAATCCACTATCTTATACATGTATGTTAACAGTATAATTATTAATTTGTATATTTTTATTTTCTAGCATTATTACTTTCTAATTGGTTTGGTACCTACGTTCTGTATTGTTTTTTATGCTAATGTATTTGTCGGTATGTTTATTTTAAACAGACAGATAATCTATTGATGTTATCTCATAGGTCAAGCAACACTTAGCGAAATCCCCGAAGGTTATGAACCACGGCATTGGGAATATTATAAAGTTTGTTTCTACATTTTTTTTTCGATATTTGTATGAAACACAAATGTATATGAATCTTGTTTTGTTTGTATTTATTTCAGCATCCTCTTCGTCGCTTTATGGCTCAATATGTAGTTCAACCATTTGATGAACGTTATGAAATTTCTCTTCATGCCATCTATACACAAGTTACGAGAGATAAACTTAAGTACAAAAAGAAAAGAGCGAAACAATGAATTATTGATATCATATATTGTTTTTAATTATTTTTTTTCAGAGCACTTGAACGAAAAGTTAGACGTTTGGAACATGCACGTGGTGATCATAAAGGATGGTATTATCGTCCAATTCCTGATCATTTAGCTGAACTTGAACAGAAGAAAGCAGCTGAACGAGCTGATGGTTATTCAGCTATGCTGGCACCACGTGAATTACCTCCGCCACGTACATGGCCTTCACCACCCAAAACTGATTAAACATTTTTGTGCGAGTTTGTTTGCTACTCCTTGTAGTCAGTGTATTCCACACAAAAATATCCTTCTACTTCCTTCTTTTCGATACTTTAGATTGTTGGATATAAATAAAAATAAAAAGCCATCAAAAGAATAAAATTTTTTATCATTATTTTATATTAAAGTTTGGCGCGACAATAGAATATAAATTATAGTAACTGTATTATTGTGTGTTACTGTGCTAAAATTTATCATATTCTTTCTCGTTTCTTGTCGTCGTTTATTATTCGCTGTTCTAATGGTAAAAAATAAGCAGAACACGACAAATCCACACATTACCCGTATTTTCAGCTCATGGCATACATCAACCAAGTAAACAACAGTAGAAAGTTGGTAGGAGCGATGAATTTAAATGCAACGCTGTTTTTTTTTTCTATAGAAAGAAAAATGTTTAGTTTCATCTGTAAGTAGAACAGCTGAGTTGATGATCGTGTAGTGAAAGGTAAGAAAGAAAAAAAATGAGGTGATTACGGAACATATGTTTTAATGTACTAGAAGAAAAAAAACAAAGGTTTGCTGTTTCTTTTTTTTTGAGAAAAGAAAAATGACTGTGAAGCTTTTAATCACAGGGTTTCACTTAAATTTTTTTCCGGAAGGACGAACATCAATTTATAGGAGCACAGATGCATAGTATATAATATAATACCTAACAGCTGTAGGAAACCAGTACTTCTACAGATCAGCGATATCCACATTCCTTGATGCCTTCATCGGCACCCTTCATGTGTCCTATTAATTAGACCAATTTGTATATAGGATGTTGTCGATCTGGAGTATTAACCTTATCTTCCGAGTAGCACTACTCTTACAGTAAGTAAAATACTGTTCAATAGTTATATGTTCGAAGATTCAGAACAAAAATTTGACCTAGATTTTATGTTGATTTCTTTTGTTCTCATTTTTTTTTTCTTTGCTCGAAAATGTATTTTCATTTTTCATTGCCTATAAATGAAAAATATCTATTATTAGACTTGAGATGATGGATTTAATGTTATGTCCAATATTAAGAATAAGCTTCTCGGTCGTTCGTATTCGCATGTTACTTGTCTTGACATAAGGCAAGAATATCAATACAATCATTCCTTTTTATTTTTTCATAAACATGTATTGTCTATAATCAGGCCAAGCTACTCTCCTATCATGTGTACTAAAGAATGAACTTGTCAATGCCATCGTCAATAATGGCTTATGCTTGTGTGTCTGCCCTTGGTGAGAGTAAGAAGCAACGAATAGAAGAAACCAAATAGGTTGTTTTTTTTTCTTTTTCTTTTCTGTTCTACTCACAGCGTCGACGTATAAATCTTCTTCTTATTCATCGTCGTCATCAGTTACACAATATATCAGACGTTTTTTTCCTGCGTTTTTGCGTTCTTATGGTTAGAATACAAGGCCAATCATTAAATAGAATGGATGGATGTGTATATGTTGTCGACGCGATGAATGGTTTCTCTCATGAAGGTTTTTTCTTGTTGTCGAGAATGAAGAGAAATAGAGAAAAAAGAAAGAAAGAAAAAAGAACTTGTTTTTGCTAGGACTTGTTTGCTAGTATTCGATTCTCGTTGG